CACCACACTGATCTCAGCCCCAAGTCCCCTCCTCCAAAAGACCTTCCCAGATGCACCCCCAAACTTCGTTTCCCATGCCGCCACTTCCTCAGCAACAGACCTAGTTCGGTTTTCTCCAGAACACTTTTCAAGCTCTGAAGCATTTGTGTGAACATCACTGTGTGTGTCTACTTCAGAGAACACAGACTCGGCATCCAGGCCTTTATTTGTTTGGTCAGAACTTCCCCGAGTCCGGAAAAGTGTCCAGCACATGGAGTAGTATCTTAAGTCTCTGTGGGATGCTTCTGCAAAGCAACTAGCAGATTCCCCATGCCTCCACTCACTATGGCATGAAGACAATGTGCTGCCTTCTTTGTTGGCCTGGGGCCCAGGGCCCACCATGCTTTCAGGGATCCACAAGGTTATTTTCTTGTTAGTGTCTTTTAAAAGCAGAAGGAAGACAACGTAATGATCATGAAAGTATAACAGTGATTCCAGCTTGGTCTACATTCATCTTTATGCCAACGCAGTCTCGGAATACGTAGGCTGTTTGGGTGGGAATAATCAACCCCCTGAACCCCAGCTTGCTGAGCGGGGGCCATCCCAGCACATGAGGCTGCAGGGAGGTGACCCATGAGCCCGGGGTTGTGAGGGTCTGGACCACAGGGTGGGGGTTCACAGTGCACCCAGGCAGCCCAGAGCTCTGGACCAGGAGGGTCTCCAGGGCACAGGAGCTGTCTCATTCCTTTGAGGCTCTCTCACAAAGGTGCAGGAGACAGGGTTAGGGTTGGGGGCGGGGAGGAAGGAAGGGTTCATTCATTGTGCCACTGGAAGGCTGAAGAAATGGCCGCTCAGACTCACTAAGCAACTCACCTAAATTGCATGCTTAAAGCCATGACTTGGAGACCACTTCTGCAATGCCATCTCTTGGCACTGCTTGGGTCCAGTCTTATACCCACCCACTCTGAGCACCAGGATCTGGTGCTGTAGTGCCTCTCTTCAAGGAATCTCATGCAAGTGCTAGGGACTCCTCCGTGCACCTCTTACTATAAGCTGGCACCAAGAACTCAATACCCCCGTGCTCAGGCTCATGCCAGCTCCTCTGCTGCCAGGTGCTGCTTTGCAACTCTCAGGTGAATCCGCACCACAGGCCCCCATTCCACCTGCTCCCTAAAGGACTGATGCCTGGCCAAGCTCAGGATGAGGCGGCAATGCTCCCTGTGTGATTTTCCTCGGCTTCCTTGGAGATGCTTGCGCTTGGAGGAAAAGGCGGAACGTTGCATCTTGGAACAAATCTGCTTTTGATCATGCAAATGAGTGCTCCGTTAATGTAGGCAGACTGTCAGTTTCACCAGCAAGGAAGAGAGAAGGGGAGGGGTGGAAATTCCCTATCACAGGGACTGATGAATAATTTCAATAGAAAGCTGCTGCCTCAGGAGATAAGATCATTCCCCAGGAGCAGAGCCCTTCTAGGCATCTCCAGCAGCCCGGATGCTCCGTGGGTATGTTACCAGTTGTGCTGGGTGTCACGGGGACTCCCTCAGTGGGCTATAGTTGTGCTGGGGTGGCAGGGATGAGGGCATTTGGTGGATTTCTGCCAAGGCGGTGGCTGGGTCCAGGGGCCTGAACTTTGGGGAGGGACTCCCACACTCTGGTGGTTTCCTGTGTTCATTTGTGAACTGGGCTCTGGCTGGCACTTTGCAGGGTTGGCATGAGGCAGAAGCATGGGTGCACAAATGTGTTTACTGGTGATTTGGAAACTGGCCTTGGGTCAGGAGAGGTGACTGCCTGTTCTTTGAATTCCTGCTTTCTGTGGCTTTCTGTGAATGAGGGCCACTAATCCTAACCAAATTAAAGAATGAAGTGAAAAACTACATTTATTGAGGTCAGGCTGTTTGCCAGACATTGAGGTATGTTTATAGCCTCCGATCACTTTTATAAGGGTTATTTACTCATAATGTCCAAATTTATAAACAGGACAAATGAGGGTCAGGCTCTGGGAAACTTGAATGCTTCTGATTATAATCTAAGGACACTCTTGACTCCATGTTTGGTCGAGAAAGAGCCAAGTTTGTGGGGTTCTGGTCAGTTCCTCGGCCATGATCACCCTTCCTGGCAGTGCCACTATGGGCCTAGCAACTCTCTACCCTTCTCCTCTGAAGGCTCAGGAATAGGATGCCCATCTCTCCACACAGCATGTATCCACCTTTTGGTTGTTTAGCTTGCTTGTTTATCCTCTTCTTGCCATCCCAACTGTGACTTTCTTGGGGTCAGGAATTCAGTGTTTATGCCTCAACATTCGGCACAGGATCTGGGTCATAGTTAGTAACTGTTCTCACACCTGACACTGCTTAGGAGCACGTGTAATTAGGATCTGATAAGCAGATCCTGAAGGAAGTGAGACACTGTGCCATCCAGGACCATTCTAGAAGAGAGACCAGCAAATGGTAAGATCCTGAGGTGGGAGTGTGCTTGGCCAACTGAAAGTACTGCCTGGTGCAGCTGGAGCATAGTGGGCCATGGAAGGAAAAGTGAGAAGTGAGGCCAGGGAGCTACTATGGCCACATCCAATAGGTTCTGTAAGTCATGGTGAGGGCTGGGCTTTGACTCTATGAGAGGCAATGCCCCTGAAAGGCTGTGAGTGGAGGAGTGGCCTGATCTGACTTCTGCCTGCAAGGACTGCTCTGGCCCCAGTGGCTCTCATGGACACTGCAGGGCAGAGGCAACAGGAGGAAGTGAGGCTTCTGCCAGGATCCCGGAGCAAGAGGATGCAGATCAGAGTGATGGCTCACACGAGGTGGTGAGAGGCAGCTGGGTGCTGGGTGAATAGTAACTCAGAGAAACCGGGATGCTGATGGAATGTTGGCAGGGGGCGGCGTCCAGCTGCTTTTTGGTGTGGAGCCTGAGCACATGGAGACTGAGGAGCTGTTCACTGAGGTGGCAAAGACTGTGGGAGAATGTGCTGGTTTAGGGGTGGGAACTGCTGGGACCAGCAGAGAAGTTGGCCAGATTGTGGGACTGAAATGGTCTAGAGTTCAGTGGAAGGGTTTTGGCCAAAGGAACAGAGAGACTGGAGCTGCATGGAAATGTCAGCATGGAATGGCCTTGGAAAGCAGGCCCTGGCTTCCAGCCTGACCGATGCTATGATTCTCCCTCCTCCCTCTGTCCAGTGCTACGTGTGAGCTGGGTAGGATGCAGGAACCCAAGACTGCTCAGTGCTGCACCTGTTCCCAAAAGAAGTGGGGAGACGTGCAGTAAGATTTGCATTCTTGCCAGGGAATGGGTATGGAGAAAATAGGGCCTGGAAATGGAGCTTGGGTGGCAGCTGTGGACTTGGCTAGGAGCCTCCTTGCTGTGCTTGTAGCAAAGTTTCTCTGTTCCTGTGCCATCTTGAGCATGTGCCTTCCAAGCGAGGGCTGCTTGGGCTGGGCAGCCAGCCTCCTTTTGGCCAGAACTGTCCATCTCTGCAAGTGGACAGAGGAAACTAACTGTGCCTGCACGGCCTCAGAGGAAAATTCAAGGAGGGGAGTGAAAATGCAGCACTGAATAGGGATCTGGATTAAGGCTCCTGTGGGGAGTAGCTCAGGAATTCAGGACAGAGTGGGGGATGTCCCAAAGGTACTCCCAGGACAGTGGTTGGACTGGACCAGCCCAGGGCAGCCACATGTCCAGGCAGCCCTCTCACAATCAGCTGGAATGATAGAGAAATGTACCCTAGGCTGCATGCTGGCCCCCCACCTCCCAAGCCTGCAGATGAACACCTGCTCTCCCCTTCTGGGGGACAGTGCTTCCTCACAGTGGCAGCGAGAAGAAGCTCCCAGTCCATCCTTCCCCTCACCCCAGGTGCCCTGTCTGCCTCCTGAGAATATGAAATTAGCTTTTCCTTTTTTGCAAAAAGAGTCAGAGATGACTAGGATAAGTCCAGGACAAAGTGGTAGCTCAGTTCATGAATGCTTTTGTTTGCCTTTGGCAAAATGTTGGTTTTGTTTGCCAACTCTGCATCTGGTAAGAAACATGACTGTGGCCATCTTTCCCATGCAAATACTAATGTGGCCATCTTTTCCCAAATTATAGAACAAATTAAGTTTGTGAACCAGGGGACTACTGTACATGAACCAAGAACCAAAGCTGTGATGAGTCAACAGCCATACACCTTTACCTGCAGGACAATGCGAAATACGGCATTCCAAGGAAAAGATGATACTGAATATCATATGCATATATGTATATTGAACATCGGTAAATAACTAATAAGATTCTTCCCTATGTATCTACACCTCTGGAGGTAGCTGCTGTTAATCTGTCTACACATTATCCTTTCTCAGAGAAACATAAAACTACGCACATTTACATATACACAGATAGCCCAGGTTGTTTTTTAAGAATATGAGTGCTGTATAAATGCCACATACCTCTACATCTTCATTTTCCATTTAGCAACAGGTATTCCTGAAGCAAGCAGAGCTATCAAGTTTGTTTTGTTTTTAGACAGGGTCTCACTGTGTAGTTGAGAGACTGCCCTGGAACGCACTGTGTAGCCCAGGCTGGTCTCAAACTCACAGCAATCCTTCTGCTTCAGCCTCCAGAGTGCTAGGATTACAGGTGTGCACCACCACACGCAGCAAGTTCATTCTTTTTAACAGCAGCCTAACACTTAATCATTTATATGTGTTTAAAGTTAGTCAGCCATTTCCCCATTAATTTTGAATTGCTTCCAATTTTTTTGCCACAACAATTAGTGCTATGAAAAATACCCTTGCATGTATATTATGTGAAACCATGTTTTTATTACTGTGAAGTAGATTCTCCAAAGTGAGATCTATTATCTAAGGGAAGTAGAATAATGCAAAGGAATCCAGGATCCTGTCCACATGGATTAATAATTTTTTAAAAACAACTTTCAGTAGAGCTCTGAGATACCGCTGAGTGTGCTGGGGAGCGGGGGTGCCCTCCTACTTGTGCCCAGCTCCTCAGGGAGAGGCCAGACACAGGTAACTACACCCCAGCCTCCTCCCACCTACCTTCACCGCCTTGGCTCTGTTAATGAGCCCATCGTCCTGAGAGCTTCCAATAAGCAGGTCAACCTTGGCCCGTGGAGGCCTCTGCAGGGCTCTGGCTGGGGTTTCTCGGAGGTACTGGCCATCAACCACGGGGCCCCAGTAGTGGAAAGGACCACTCACTGCCAGGAGCTGTAGGGTGCAAAAGAATGCTGTTATCTGTATGGCTTTTGCCTCCTTCTTTTAAAAATGGTACTGGAATAATGAGTTGTCTTGCTTTGCATAATGAGGTCCTGACTGAAATGACTGCCCAAGATGGTTATTCATCTGTAGCACTCTTGGGAAGCAAGGGCAAAAGGACCACAGTGACAGGCGGGCAGGACACCAGGTGACAGTGCCCAGCAGCTGATGTTGTGTCTCTCAGCAAAGGGGCCCCCCAGAAGCTAATGGAACCCCAAGAGGAAGGGCATATAGTTGAAGAAAGGGTCACGGCTCTGATAGGTGACGTTAATCAGCTCTAACTGCCATGACATCTACGTTTAAAGGAGCCCCGAGTAAGACCCACTCCAGTCATCCCGGAGAAGACCAAGCTTCCAGCTGAAATCATAAGTTAGCCCTGCTGCTGTCTCCTTCACTAATCTCAGGGATGGTTGGAGACCTGGCCTTTGAGCAAGGTCATTGCAGGCTAGAAAGGAGACACAAAGCTATCCCCACATCCACGGCCTGTCTGTGCAGCTGTATCCGTTATGCTCAGAACACAGAGCTATGACCTGACCATGCGTTTACCACAGACCCCTCATGTGGGACGTTGCATTGTCCCCTCCTGCTGTACAAGGGCTTCGTCATTCCTTCCATTTCATAGAAGAGAAACTGAAGGTGCAGAGAGGCCTGCGCACCTGCAGTACCCAGCTTGGTCCATGATGGCCCGTGGGCATCAGGAGTGCACAGTCTCCCTTCTGGGTGGCTTGAGTGGGTCATGTCTCCTCGCTTAGCTCTCCATTTGTAGAAAACTACACCGCCTCTCCCACCCTGCACACCAGCACCCACCTTGGTCTGGGCATCATTGAGGACGTGGGCGGGCGTCTGGCGCAGGCAGGACACCACTTCTTGGCTGGATGACGTGGGGCAGCTGACCTCTTTTGCCAAAGTCACTGCCTGTTGCTGAGCCCTGTTGGGACTGATGACTGCAGCTGGGGAGAGCACAGAGCCTCCCTGGAAGAGAAAGAAGGGGGAAATTGTTCCAGCCACATCGGCTGATGTCACTGTTAGCACAACAGGTCCCCGGGGACTTCCCTGTCTGCAGATGTCGGGCGAAGCTGGGCTCGGCCAGAACCAGTGGTAGTACTGGGTCCCCTGCCCAGGGAGGGATGGAGCGGAGGCCCAGATTTTGGCCCCTCATTCCCCTGGAGAGCAGGAGTCAGGGACAGCATGGTAGGATGGGACACTGCCCTCAGTGGAGCTACTGCCACAGAGCAGCAGTGACAGTCCTGGATGGAGACTTCAGGTCACAAATGACAGGCATCTCCGTTTCTCTCACCTGACCCTCATGGGGGATGTGTGAGGTAGTTTCTGTTATCGCCCCCATGTTAAAAACCTGCAACTAAAGACGCAGGGGGGACAGCATGGTGTGAGCAGGGCCACACACCAGGAGGTGCAGCAGCCTCTGTGTGCAGGGGCCGGTAAGCAGACGGAGCGCCTGGAGGGCATGGAGGGACACGCTGGTCTCACCACAGAGCCCCAGGCCCTAGTAAGGGCAGCTGACTATGGAGCACTGTTCTCCGAGCCCTGTGGCCAGCTGCGCCCTCTCCCAGGAGCTCGATCTGCTGTGCCTCACATCGCCTCCACAGTGATAGTCTGAGGCACCTGCAGCAGTCACCCCGCTTTCCAGACAAGAAGGCTCCACAAGCACAGAGAGAATGCCCGTAAACTAGGTACTTCCATATACCAGGAGCTTAACGACTGAAACAGGAGGTGTGATCAAGGCACACCATGTTAAATTACAAAAAAATTACAGTGAAAGACACAATGTCACTAATTTACCTTGCAGGACTCTGCCTTGCTTCCCATACTCTTATCCCTTTATTCTTACTACTTTATTGAAACCGTTCCAGAAGTCCTCTTTCACGAGTGTCTATGCGGTGTGATAAAAAGATATGGCAAATGCTGCCACCCTGAGATGGAAAGGCAGGCTGATAAGAAGATTAGGTGTTCCTTCATCCACCTGGCTCAGCAGGTCTTCAGTGTGTGACTTTTGGCTCCACCCCAAAGCCAAAACGAAAGGTAAACATTTTGAATGGATTCAGCCAATCGAGGTAGCCATGATATCTCAAATAAGAAAGAGGACTTCCAGAACTGCTTCAGAACGTGGCAAGCACAAGGGAATGAGTTCTAAGTGACCGGGGTTACTTTGAAGGAGATTAATGGCAATATGTCTATTACTGTAATACATTTTTTAAACTGTAAGCATTCACGGTAGATTTCGGTCACATCTCACAGAGACTGCTCACATGCCTTGAGCACTCACTAGATTTTTAAGCACATAGCCCTAAGCACTTACATAGATTAACATATTAAATCCTCTCTACCGCCCAAAGAGATACAGTATTTACCTCCTTGTCTTTGAGAGGAGGAAATTGGGGAAGAGAAGTTTGCACTCTTGGCCCAGGTCACACATCTGCTGAGGACAGAGCTAGGATGCACTGGACCCTGGGCTCGGTCCATGTTATCCATGTGTTGTCAGCCCTTGAGCGACATAGGGTTCTCCTACTGCAGGGTGAGAACACTGCCCCGGTGGACTCCGTGGAACTGATGTCGCAGTTCCAGACCCTGAACTGCTATGTCAGAAACAGAAAATACAGGAAAGGCTGAGTGTGGTTGCTCTGAACACAGCAGGGGGAACCAAGGTGCGGCTGGAAGGCCTAGCATCCCGACAAGTGTCCTGGGACCAGGGAGAGCATCCCAGATGCCAGTGGCAGACGCCAGTGTCACGGAGCTCCAGAAGCAGAGTCACAGGGGCAAGGAATGGGTGCCACAGTGAGGACGCATCGCGTGATGGGCCTGAGAACTGACACTCAAAGGCTGAGGGCACCTGAGGGAGGTAGGAGCCCAAGTTTGGCCCTGTCCTCCATGGAACAGCCCACCACCCAGGCTCCAAACCCCAGAGCTTCTACTATCACAGGCAGCTGGGCAGACAATGTTGCGGCTCAGGCTTCCAACGCAGGCTTCAGGGAGCCCCTTATACCCGCTCCTTCTCCATACCAGCCCCATGCAGCTCTCCAGACTAGGGGGCTGAGTGATTTCCAGGGCACAACCTGACGGAGTGCCTTCCCTGCACCAGGCACTTCCTTCCACACTTTAGTTACAGATGTGGTTAAGCCTTACCAACTCCCCCAGGGCACTGAGGACATCACCCCATTAAAGAAGAGGGAGCTGAGCACAGAAAGGTGAATGTCAAGGTCACAGGGCTCTGGGGAGTTTCTTGGTGCAAGGTGGAGGCGCCATTGCTATCTTGTTTCTGCTTGCCTGTTGGGTCAGATGAGGGGCCTGTGGTCCAATGAGGCTGGGCAGTAAGTGCCTGGACATCACACAGGGTGTGTAGGTGAAGGGCTACAGGCACCACACTTAAGCAGCCTGGTACCGAGGAGCCCTTTCCAACAGCTCTGAGTATTCACATTAAGCCTGGAAGATTGGGCTATGGACTCAGGCAGGAATGGGCAAAATATGTGGCTTCCTGTCTTTAACTCATTTAAATAACAAGCTCAGGCTTATGGTAAGATGCCCCCAGCCAGGCTGAGCTCCCTGCCATCTCCAAGCAAGGGGCCTCTTCTGAGCTTCAACATCTCTATAGGAGGCTCTTTGTGGGAATAAGCAGCAAGAAAGGACAGATACTCAGCCATCTTGGGGCCTTGAGCTCAGTGACAGTGGCAGTGAACCAGGGTCAGCATGATTCAGAGCTGGCTTTGAGTTCTGCACCTGTGGGCTTATTCTTCAATCAGTGCATGGCCAGCTTTTCTGAGAACCTCTGTGTAATATGTGTTCTTTGTCTGCACAGAGCACACCCACTCCAGGTATCCAGTCCACAGTCCCTATTCTAAACAGCACAGTGCAGGGTGGCCCAGAGGGGCTGCCAGCTTCATGCACAGACAGGCCATGGCATGGGGACACGAGAATTCCAGGATGTGCCTCTGATGTTTGCAACATTTTCATCAGCTATAAAAACCAGGCCTCCTGATAGGGGAGGAAGTGGTGAAAGGTGTGGGCTGCCCTGGTATTGTGAGATAGGCTAGAGAGCTTTCCTTTCAGTGTTTTTGTTTTAATCGAGCTTTATGGAGGAAATCTCTTTCTTCATGGAAAATCAGTGGTTAAGTGTGCAACGGCCACACAGCCTTCATTTTAAACCACTTGACAGGAAGGAGGCAAGGTACTCGGGACAGGGTGCTAAATAGGGTCCTGTACAGAGCACGGGCTTAGGCGGGGAGAGGGACGGGTCTGGGCTTTGGCTCTGTCACTCTGAAGTCCCTGGGAGAGTTGCCTTCTCAGAGCCTGCATCTCCTTATCTTGAATGAGAACAGGAACCCATGTTCATGGGCCATTGTACAGAACCACAAGGTGGACACGGGTGACCATGGGGGTCCCATGCATAGCGATGTGGCCTCTGGGACCCGTCAGCTCTCTGGGCCTCATGTGGCCTTGCAGGCCATGGTGGCGCTGGAGTCTGCTCAGGCCACCCATGCTACTTTTAAAGCCCAGGCTTAAATTTTATCTAACTCTGACCTGGCTATTAAGTGGCAATGAGTTTCCTCCTGCTGTTTTTTAAAGTTTAAAAATAGCACGGACCAAAACCACAGCTGTGGACCACAGCTTTTCCTTCCTGGAGTCTGTGGATATTATCTTGACCTTCGGAAGCCACTGGTCACCTCAGATCAAGACCTGACTCAGCCCACATAGGCACACATGGAAATGCACAGTGGCAGACAGACTTCACACGCCTGTGCAGACAGTGAGACACGCAGCCAGACACACACAGATACCCAGACATGTGCCTGTCACAGAGGCACACACTCAGGACACACAGACCACAGAGACACATGGTCACAGGCAGAGGTGGACTCACACATAGAACACAGAGATGCTTGGCACACTCAGACACACAGACACAAACACACACACACAATCCCAAGCAAAGACACTCAGTCACAGAGACACTCAGACACACGCAGAGGACACACAGAGATCACTCACTCACACACACTCTGAAACATTTTCACATACCAACACACACACACACACACACACACATACACACAGAGTCACAGAGACACAGACAGAGAAACGCTTGGATGTGCTCAGACATACACAGAAGCATTTGCAGTGACACGCTCAGACATAAATGCAGACACACACGTGAACAGATAAGCACAATTACAGCAGAGATGCAAAGACACATAAACACACTAGCACAGTAACAAATACAGATATATAGATTTAGACATGCACACACAACAGCCCTTCTGCCATAGAAGGCTCCCAGGAGAAGCCCCTCACAGGCCCTCTATGAAGATGTCAAGAAGCAGGAAGTTGAAACTTCTATGACAAACTTGCTGCCCCAAGCCCGCCCTGATGGCCCTGCTTTGGGCTGGGTCCTGGAGTTAACTCCTCAGAGCCTTTGCAGGCAAAAGCACCTGAACCTCAGAGCCACCCAGAGAGGTGGGCATCGCAGACCTGGCCATGACAGGGTGCAGGCAGAGATGAAGCACTGGACCCCATGTCTCCCAGCTGGACAGGGAGGGAAGCAGCTGCTGGCTCCCCAGCTCTTTGTTCTAAGCACTGGGCACAGTCTCGTGCTGGTGAACATTAGCACCTCTCTGTCCTTGGGAGAACTTGAGGCCAAAGCCAGGCAGAAGACTCTGGCTCAAGGAAGAGGCAGAATATGGTTTCAATTTCAGCTCTGTCTGCTGCCATGATACCAATTGCCCTTGGCTTCTGAGTCTTGGATTTCTAATCCGTACAAGCAGATGTTATAGTGGACAGCGATACATGTGCATGTCAAGTGAGATAATGGACACAAAATACTCAACGTGGGATTAGTACTCAATAAACATTCATTGTAAGCATTGCTGGAGATATTGTTAATCATAGGTTTACTTCCCACAGTGCGTTTACTGTCCCTGAGTTAATTCCATCAGTATGTTGCAGGCTGACAGGTATGAGGT